TTGGTTCCCCGCGTTTCACTGGCTCTGTGTCTTCAACATATCGAACATCGCGCTCAACCACAACTATGTCGGGCACTGGAACTGTTTGCCTTGGGTCGCTGAGTTTCCCTGGCTCTGTGTCTTCAACATTGAGAACATCGCGCTCAACCACAACGCTGTCGGGCACTGGAACTGTTTGACTTCGGTCCCCGCGGTTCACTGGCTCTGTGTCTGCAACATTAAGAACATCGCGCTCAACTACAACGCTGTCGAGTACTGGAACTGTTTGCCTTCGATCTTTCACAAGCTCTCCCTCTTCATAATTCTTGGCAAAACACGCCTTAGGTAGACTTAAATTGAAGGCATCGGCGGTGAGAATTGCATTTAGAGCATTTTCCACTAGTAAATGTCCTCTGAATGCCCTTTGAACAGCTTTGCCGCTGAGCATGTGTCCCACCGTATTTGAAGCATACACACACTCTAAAAGTTCTTCAATACCAGAACCAGACATAATGCTGCCTATGCAACCAAGAAAACTCATTTCTGCGTGGAATCCTCCAAGACGAAGTATTATAGAGCGCAGTTCACTGTCTGGTGGTTCACTCTCTACGATAAGCTGCGCTTTCCACCACAAGGGTTGGTCGAATGTAATAATAGGCGTGGTATGTTGTCTTTTACATTGTGCTTCTACAAATTTAAGCGTTGAATATATACAGCTCATGTTTGTTGGATCCATGTCAATCATTGGTAAGAATGTAACAGAAGATTTTCCGGGATGGCTTCCTTTGCTTATAGTCTGCATTAATCCAGACCAATTTGGCTTGGGGGATCGAATTGGCCAAACTAAACTGCAGAGAAAGTCTAACTTCCAAGTTTTATTGACGTTAGAAAGACATGGCAGTTTCTCATAAACCAAAGGCACTTTGACATCATTAGCCGTCTTGTAATAGTGAATATCAATCTTTCCAATATTTGCTATCTCTGCAGCTGTGGTGGAACACCTCGGTATTGGAGAATCTGGATGCGTGGCCGGAGTAACAGCAGCTATTATCCCCATACCATGAAAAGTGTTCTGTCCGTCCAACGTACAGACATTGTGGTCTACATTATCTGCTACATATTGTACAAAGTGACCAGGGGTTAAACCAGGAATATCTGTGCCTTTTGTTTGCGCCGCACTCATTTCAAATTTCTTAACTTCAGTGTAAGAGGAGCAAAACCCATGACTATTCAAGGAATCAATTAAAAATTTGGATCCATAATGGTGGTGCATTTGGACTGCCAGGCCGATTTGAAGAGGAGCTATCAGGACCCTGGGCCGAGCGGCTTGAATAATGGCTTGCCCTATGGAAGCAATCTTTCGCTCTGCACTCTTTTCGTTAAATATTGTTCTCAGAAACAAATACAACGTTTCAGGTAGAAAAGCGCAGTTTTCATCCAAAGACGAAATCTCTCCAGGTAATGGATAAAAACTTTTAGAGATGTCCTTACTTTTGATGTCCGTTTTTATGAGATCAGCAGCTGCCTTAATCACTCTGATTTTATCGGCTTCAGGGTCAGCATCTCTAGAAGCGTCATAAAAATTTTGCAAGATGGTCGAAGCTGTACTCCTAAATGTTACGACATCAGCCTTACCATTGATACTAGCAATAACGATGTTTTCTCCAAAATGCTCTTTAAGTTTTTCTTTCATATACCGTGCGCTGTAAGGTTCTTGGTCGTTGAATTCTGCCATCTTATTCATAAGATCGTTCACAGTTAACTGCTCGTCATCGTTTTCCTTAAGATATTTTGCAACCTCCAAGAATGCCTCTTGCCTAGACTTATCAGTTGGCCTGCCTTTCTTTTGTCGTTTGCTTCCGTTAGTTTGATGAGAAAGCGGTACTTGCTTCCCCGTCCGAAAATTGGTACTGCAAACTTGGTGATAAATTGCACCTGCTGCAATGAGATCTTGGGAAAAAGATATTCTGCCATGCACTTTCTCAGCCCAACCGTCTCTTCGCTCCTCACAAATTCGGTTTAATGTGGTTTGAAAATCTAATGTTCTAACAGGAAAAACATCATGTCCTCTTTTGTTTCCCGTAAGTTTAGCAGGCTGGCTGCAAAATAAACATCGTTCACCAAAATCAAATGTTGGTTCACTGGAACGCAGGGTACGACTTGCACTAGAGGATGTTTCTTCATCAGCCGTATGTTTCTTTATGTAGGAACGAATAACCTTTACATGACAGTATTTCTGCCTGCATTTTTGATGTACACGCTGTCCTGCAAAAGTTTGGAGTGTGTCGCCACGTAGTTTACTTGCATTGTTGATGCCATCGCTTCCTTTTTGCCTAAGTTCCACTGTTTCGAGGCCATTGGTTGATAATTCCTTGCAAATTACACAATACTCCATCGTGTGATGTTAACCGGACGATAAACCACATCTTTAACCATCTATACTTTACCTTCACACGACATTTTTCACTAAAGTACCACTCTGGACGTCCAACAATGCGTTTCTACCAATACTCGTCTAAATAAATGTCTTGTGAAGCGAAGAACTTTGTTAGTTTGAAGGCCAGAGAATCGTCCAGAGCAGTTGTACGGAGCAAGAATTTTCCAAACCAAACAATCGAGAGTCTTTAGAGTCACTGATACACATATATACTTATTGATAGAGAACTAATTCAAGGAAAACTGTTGTTTTCCAGTTCTCGAAATAAAATTTCTTCGATGTGATCAAAAAGTTGTTCAAATCTTTACATTTAAACACGTGCACGCATTTTGTTTTCCAATTACGCCTATTGTTTTTAGCTGTTTGCTGTAAAAATTTACGCATATATTTTGAATAAATTGCGCGGCAGCCATTTTGAATTTAGAAAAAGAATTCAATCATAAAACTGTAATTTCATCATTTTATCCTTCGAAACGTTTGGTAGACTTTTGACATGTTATTTATAGGCATCAGTAGAATAACTTCCGGCAAAAATAAATTCTGTTGCAATTACTTCAAGGTTCGGTCTTTTTTTCTCGTAGAATGACTAGACTATTGGGCAAATTCAGGGCTTGCCTGTATTTTGTCAGTCTTACTCACACCACCTGGTAAAATGATATGCCTTATGAAATGCTCTTTCCCGTCAACTGTATTTTGTGAATTTGGCTGTATTTTTCACTTGGGTGTCATGCTTGACACTGAAATTTGAGGCTCATGATCGAAACATGAACCTTCAGAAATTTCCAGGGTTGACCGAAAAAGGATCAAATGCGTATATATTGCGATTCTGTTTCAAACATACACTGGCGTTCTAAGCATGTAAAATGCAACTAAACACTTAATGTACTAGACACTATGGCCCGCTGTGATCTTCTACTTACTCAGGAAGCGAAGTACGTCTAGTCAATAAGTTTAATTAGCAAATCAACAACTTTGCACGTGCATTTTATTGTTTTATCAACATTTCTTTGCCATCACTGCATGGCCAGGATGTGAAAATGCCTAACTACACATTTTTTATTGAGGACATAAACAAATGAAGACAAACTTTTTTCCTCTGTGAGCATGAGTTTGCCTACATTTGACAAAATAAACGACTTGTAATGATCCCGAAAAAGAATGAAAGAGTGCGAATTTACTTTTTATTAAAAAGCAACGTTTTGACAGCTGTAGCCCTCGTGGTACCTCGAACTTGAGCAATTGATGTGTGGCAGGAAAATTACTTCCGGTCACTGTAAATAGACGCTTCCGTAGTCATTGCTTAAAGTCTCTATTCGCTCTGTGTTGCTGTGTGTTGTCAACATTGGCTGCTAGCTGTTTTCCTTGCTCATACAGCTCTTGCCAAACTGATGGATCATTTCTCTCTGTGTTCATGACATTTATCACCACACTTACTTCTTCTGCTGCTTCAATAAGATTTACATTACTTTCCTTGAAGCATCTTTTATAAGGAGACTGTGTTAGAAAGTACATGTTCAGTAGCAGAAGGGGTGATGATGAAATCAATTGTTTGATGGAACACAAACACCCCCTTGCCTTCCCATCTCCATCTTCTGAAAGAGTCTCTAGTGACTGTACTACCACGGGGTAAGCTGTCCGAAAAGTGTATAAAGAATCAGCCCCACCTGCCCATTGTGTTTCGCACAAAGTTCTTAACTTTGCACATTTTCATCTCCTCTCTTACTAAAACATCTTGGCGTAAAGATTCTTGAAAGGCTAGCAGTCGCTTGAATGAATAGTCGAATGCGAATGTCATTGTTTACAAAGTGCTGAGCGTATTGCGTACTAAAGGTTCCTTCAGTGTGTTACCAATAGCAAGGTTAAGAGATTGGCTTTTCAGTGGACGTACACTGCTTCCAGTACACACTATCTTATGATTGCTTGCACACCCGTGTGTACCCCGGCCATATTTGCAGCACCTTTGTAGCCTTGCGCACGCATCTTACGGGTTTCAATTCTGAACTCTGCTTGAGTTGTCATAAATTTCTCAGCCAATATCGCAGCTTTTGGGCTTTCTGCCTCTACGAATCCTAGAAACTCCTTTCTCACCTCCAAGGTGCTATCTTCATCTTTCTGGTCTACAAAGCAGACACAAATTGAGATTTGTTCCATTGTGGAAGCATCTGTTGCCTCATTTACCAAAAACTTAAAATTGAGCTCTGTTACAGTCTTATAAAAGATTTGCGGATGTCATCTGCACAAAGTTCAATGAGTTCGTTCTGAATCCTTGGTGAGGTTTACTTTGCTCTGTTGTCATTATTTTGTAAGTGAAGTGCAAGAAGATGGTCAAAATTGAGGCAGAGAAAGAAAGTTGCTAATGCGGTCCACATGCCCCCGCAATGCAAAATTCTGTGGACCACACACCACTATTACAACAAAAATAATTATTATTGCCTTCAGGATGAGAAGCTATAAATAATTCATTATCAAAAAATTTAGAAGACCCTACTTGTTTCATTCAAACATTTCAAATTCCCAACCCTCTTGAAATATCTATAATTTGACCCCCCCTCCCCGCCTACTCACTCGTTCCATCACCTCCTAACCTGGAACTTACTGTAATAAAAAAATCATCCCCCTTTTAACATCTTAAATTTTTGGGGTACCCCCAATTTCTCATCAATTCCCCCTCCCCCAACAGGTTTTTGTGAATACTTCCTAAAGTCATAATCGCAAGAGATGAATATAAGTACACACACTATGTAATACTTTTAAAGTAAACATAACAGACAATAAAATGAGAGTTTTAATTTTGATAATTTATTAGGGCTTAAAAGGTATCGTGATGCACAGGTAATCCAGGCTCTGTGATAGTACTACAGTACGGTTCCAGTAAAATTACAGTGTTTGTACTATGGGGTAAAAATAAGATCCTAAAATTTTTTTGGAAATACTAAATTAAAGTCAAGGAAACTTACTCTGCAGTTAGGTGTTGTTGTCATTAATGCTCAAACGAATTTTTGTGATAAATTGCTCAAATTCACCCTCCAAACATTATAATATACAAGGTAGGAGGCACGAGATGGCATCTTGGCCACCATGCTCCCTTTCCAACTCAACTTTTTCCACAAAATTTGAACTCCAACAGTAAATAAACATGCTAGGGTCGTAGAAATAGGATAGCATCAGATATAGAAACCAATGAAGCTTTCCCAGCTAGCGAAATGAAACCAACAGACTTTAACAAACTCAAGTTGTTGTGCCAAAGTAGCCGGGTCAGATCAGTGCACGGCCAAGAAAATGAGACTTGGGCTCTGTACAAATCAAATCCATCCCAGGTGTCCTGGGGTGACCTTTCTAGGGACTGATACATAAAAATTATCTTGCACAAAGTTAGCCTCCCCTGCTGGAAATAAATTTGAGCAATTATCATGAAGCTTCGTTTGAGCATTAAGGACAACAACAACTAACTGCAGAGTAAGTTTCATTGACTTTTATTCAGTATTTCCTACAAATTTTAGGATAATATTTTTCCCCATACAAACACTGTAATTTTACTGGAACCGTACTGTGGTACTATTACAGAGCCCGGGTTACCTATGGTTATGCTCTAATTATGTTTTGTTTGCAAGGTATCTACATATTCCTCTGATGGATGCGGAGAGGGCGTGGAGCCATGCCATGGAGTTAAAACTGTTAGCTAACACAGAATTACGTAAAAAGTTTCATTACATCAGAAGACTGCGTAAGGCAGCAAGTCACGCAAGCCAGCTTGAGGAACTCTGCCATGCTGAAGCCTGTGATGCAAGAACCAAACTTGAGTCCCAGGTACTTTAGATGTAGCATTGCCAAAGTAACCAAAATTAAGGTCTAATTGAAGGCAAGCCTGAAAAAGACCGCAGTATCAAATCCCCTCTCTGATTCACAGGCAAACTAGCAGTTTATCAGAGGTCACTTTGGCCTAAATGTTTCTCACAATCCTTCGAGTATTACTTCAGGTCCTTTATAGCTTTATATCCCTCTTCATGGTAAAAGGTGATCCTATTGTAGCATTTACTTGCATCTCTAATACCAAAAGGGGGCATAAGGGGTTTACTTGTAATAAAAATGACTTTTGGCCAAAAGGAGGTATCAGGATTGCTTATTACAATAATATCATTTCCATTGTTGAAACATGTGGTTATATCCATTCTCTAAGACCTCTGTATTCTCTTCATGGTTTTTATGACAATTATTAATGATTATTTGTTCAAAATATTTTGTTGTTTCTGATTGACTCCAATCCCCTATTTGGTCCATTCCTCTCATCACGACCAGTTGGGGAAGGATGGAGGATGTTATTCACCTGGAGGGAGTAGTTTGCAGGTTGCAGCTTGCTAATCAGAATTTGTTACGTGACATATGGTCACACTGGATGTTTCACTCTTAAATAGTACTTCCAAACAACGTTGACATTGGTGGGCCTGTGATGTTATTTGTCACCATATCTGTAATATGCGTGAGACACCATAACGATTGGTATATGGAAATGTTTCGTAGGAACTGGAAGTTGGTGAGAATAGCTCTTAAAGACTTCCCTTACACCAGAATTGGGTCCAGATCCTTCAGGGCGCCTGAATATGAGTGAGAAGACAAAAGAAAAATGTTTGGAAAAAGGAAGTCCCAGAGATTTCCCTGAAAAAAAAAATCAGACACTGGTAGTTAAGATTGAAGAACATGAGTGTAGTGGGACAGTTCATGCTGTTATATATGAGGTAGATAAGTCTAAAATCGGTCTGAACCACTCCAGGTTAACACGTGCTTAGCTTCTTTACCAAAATAAATTAGTCCCTCTTGTAGTGAAGTGTTGTGTTCTCAGTTCTACTGGTATCAAATCCTTCTACAAAAGTGGTGGAGAATCCATTTCAAGTACTAATGCCTGCTGCTATCGAAGAACTTCAAGGCGCTGTTGCCGGTCTCAGCGAAGTTGTGAAAGGTTTAGTTAACACCGTTCAATAACAATCTGCCCTGCTGCAAGCTCACGCTACAGCTTCAACATCACAAGCACAAGCGAACTGAGCCAAAACGGTCAAAATAAATTCATAGCAAGATTCATGGTGGTTTACCATTTATAAAAAAAATCCAGAAATTTGGTTGTGAATTTTCGTTCAGTAAGAACGGCAGGTGTCGTTTACCATTTGCCTAAAATTTCAGGATTGTCGCGCCGCACAAGCCTGGATTCTAGTTACAACATGAAACAAGTACGTAACTCAAGAGACTTGTAAATGGTAAACAAATTTCCATTCGGAACGTCCCAATCAGGAAAACGGGACTACCTTTTCAGAGGTTGTTTACCATTTACATGGGCAGACTGGTCGGTCTACGGTTTACAGGAACAGTATCCCGTTACTGTGCATGGATCAGACTTTGATTTTTGAATAGGATGTCGCAAAATCAAAAGACGCGAGGAGAGTAAGAGAACCTTGAAAAATCTGTTTGCATCGCGCTTGGCCGAGTTCAATACTGCACTAAAACTTCTCAGGATTACAGATCAATGATAATTGTTCCTGTTAAGTTTCGATTTGGGCGAAATCTGGATTTTTTGGTGTTACTTTTATTGCCGTTGGCCAGAGGACCAAAAGATGGGAAGTGCTTTGATGCCTATTTGAAGGCTTATTTTTTATTTTCTTCTGCTAGCTTCCATACAAGCTCAGATAATTGTGAAAGGGATACGCAGAAATGAAACAGCAACAATAAAGACTGTAAGAAAGAAACCATTGAGAACATTGATGTGACTGAGGGGAGCTTTGTGAAGCAGAATGTTTTGCAATGACGCGTTAGTAAACTTTTAATCTCCCTACCGACAAAATCAAACAAACAGGTGCTACATGTTTAGAAAAAGTACTTCCATGAAGTCATAATAATATCATTTTTGACTGTTGATTCATAGCGTTGAGATTGCATTTTTATTTATGTCTTTAAAACATTTGAGGCTAGAACGCGAGCAAATCAGGCAGATATGACTGGACTTGGAACAATTGAACTCTGACACGAGTTTCACATCAGAAAATCTGTTTTTAAAGCGAGCGGAAAGAGATTTTCGAGTTCCAAGACGGCCCTGCTAGCGATAAAATCGCGATGAGTCTTTGTGCGGCGAGCCCAAATTTTAAATAAGATGAAAGACTTCTTCGAAAGTCTAAAATGTTACTCAAGAATATAAACGACAAATCTCCGTCGGTGGTGTGGTCCGGAAGGAAATCTTGTTGAGTCAATATGACAGGTCTATTGTCTTTTCAAGAAAAAACAGATGACGCTCGCACGCGCGCATAATCGAGACACAAAATTCATGACTGGTAAATTTCGCCCCAGAATTGCGTTTGCCATTTGTACGAATCAGTTCCTTTTACCAGAAAATGACCATGAAGTTCTGAAACTGGTATCAAAGATGGCGTTGAAGAAGTGGAACATGAATTTCTCTTTGGAATATTCCTACCGGAAAAACAGGGCTACTTGTTCAGATGTTTTGTTGCTCCCCAAAAAGTCATGTTCCGGCCATTAAATTACTTTCAAACTGGATTTTCCCATAATCTTTTTGTAAATGGTAAACAACCATTATTTCCATTTGTCCCGAGAATTTCCAGTAGGACGAACCAAAAAAACGTTTACCATTTACACCCGAACAGGAATTTCTGGGAATTTGTGGTAAATGGTAAACAAGCGTAAGTGCCAGTCAGAAACCGTTCTTCTGATTGCCTCTTTTTTGATTGGATGTCCTTAAAGTTGCCTTCCAGTCTGTACTGCGTGGGCCCAATGGTTTGTTTTGGGTTTTTGTTTTGAAAAGTATTTTCGTCATGTAAGACTTCATCAAATGTTTCAATTCGTTAAGTCTTAAATGAAGTGAAATAATGATTTTTCTTTTTTCCCACCGTCATGGATATGAGCTTTACTCTCGATGAAATTGAGGAAAGAGACATTGAAGTGGCTGCACGGCCAGGACGCGATGATATCTCGGTGTCTACATGTACAGGCTTTTGCTTAAGGGAAGCAGGAAGAAATGCCATTTCATGTCGTAGTGCTCAGCAGTTCTGTACTTCGAGTTGTCATCGAGTACGAGGAACCATAAGAGTGTGCTTGAAAACTTGACTTGGTGTGTGTTGCTACTTTTTTTCCTACGCGAAACTCACATTTCACAATGGTTTTTCTTGTTGCAAGGCTACAACAGTGAATTCATTAAAGTATTACATACCATAAACTTGCCATAAATACTTACTGTTTTAAGAAAAAAGAACTCATTTTCCGGTACGTATCTCTTTTTCTACCCTCATCTGCACTCATATCGTGCTATTTTTCCCCTTCCTAAATTCCGTTTTTCACCGGGACATGAAACAACCTTATCAACTAGCTGTGACTTATCCGTCATTATGCCTCAGTGAATTGTTGATTACAAGTCATTTATAGGCCAATTAGCGCTAACTTAGGGCTAAATTTTAATCTGGGTTTCTTTTGAATTTCTTTTGTTCATAGCCATTTTCTCGAAATTATTTGTAGAGAAAATGAATGAAACTGAATTTGCCTTTCAAGCTTTTAAAATTCTAAATTCCAATTTTGCCCAAACCCAGGGTTATCTTACCCAGCTTTGAAAACCCAACACAGGTTTTCTTTGATGCACGAATAGAAACAGACATAAAACGTGCATCTAAATTAATTATGGATTCACTTGTGACAAATCTACCGAAGATTCCAGCCAGTTAAGTATTAGTCTACTTACAGTAAAAAGGCATTACATGCTGGGATTCTGCAACACTTGACATCATTTTGGGCAAGATGAAGATCTTGGCTTCCAACTCAGCATAGTTGAATTTTTTTCTCTTGAATCAACACTGGTGCACTGATTGGTGCAAGGAAAATAACCTACGCGTATTGGCCATTGTTCATCACTGTCTTTGAAATGCCCATGAAGAGGTTCTCACCTGGTGGAGAAATTTGCTTGTTCCTAATCAGATTCTTCCAATGGCACTGAGGTGGAGAGCAAGAACGATACTCAAACCGAATCAGGTTGCACCTGAGGGTGGGGAAGAGGAGGGAGGCCCTGTGGACGGGCTCACACAACCCAGAGAGGTCAAACAGTTGATGGAGGTCAAAGGAGAGGAGTGCATGGTATAAGATCAGGAGGGGTAGAGAGTAGGACAAGTGGTGGTGGAGGGTCAAGATGACATGGACGTGGAAGAGGACTGTGGAAGAGGACATGGGAGGGTAGGATTGGTGTGGTAGAAGAGGATGCAGAACAAAGACAGGCCAGAGTCCTGGGGTGGTTCTTGACTAGTATTTGAGTATAGTTGAGCCGCTGAAGGTTTGAAACCCTGGCCCTGTTTAAGACAAGAAACTCCTAAAATAAATACCCTATTTAGGACATCAACCTTCATTCTATTAGTCTGTTTAGGACAATGGACAGAATGCACGTAAGAGCAAATTCACGTTATAGTTATTGCTTTTTCATAGATAATGATGATAATAATAATAACAAATTATTTAACCAGGGTAAACCTGTCAGCTGAAGCTGTTATAAATGGGTGCCCTGGGCAACTATAAAATTAACAATGAAAGGAAACAATAACTAACAGATCAACTATCAGAAAATGAAAAAACTATGAACAATGTTGATGGATAAAAACTAAGAATTATATAACTACGTAAATTAAGACTTTTAAAACTCCAAAATATTTACCAGAAATCTAAAAAAAATGATTATCATTAGGCTGTGTTTTCAAAATCACTATAGAGTCAACTTCCTTCAGATGGGGTGACAAGTTATTGAAAGCCTGGGCTCCAGTATAAAGTGTTCCTTTCTTGACAGATTCTGTACGGACTTAAGGAATTAAAATATCTAAACCATTACGCCTAGTGGAATAAACATGTGAAGACTTAATAAAATAATTCTTAAAAAGATCTGGAGTAATGTTATGGAGACACTTAAAAACAAAAATTGTGCATAGTAGAATGCGCCTTAAGGGACTGTCAACTTAATTGGCATAAAATTTGATGATGACTAAGATTGGTATCCTTCAGAACAATTCTTGTAGCCCTCATTAGAAGTTGTTCTAAAGAATTATATCCAGAAGGAGCTAAGTTGTTGCAAACAAAATCGCAATAATCTAACTTGGGAAGTATCATGGTTGTGAAGACTCTTTCAGCTGCATAGACCGTGAAGTTATTACGTACCCGACTTAACAAACCAAGTTGACTGGAAATCTTTTTATTCAGCTGAGTAACATGTTCCTTAAAAGACAAGGATTGGTCTAGGTATAAAAATTATCAAGTGCAAAGCTGGTAATGGTTTTTTTGCGGGTGAGCAAAATACAATATGGCAAAAGTGTGATCTTGGTGGGGGTGGTCAGCAGCACTTTATAAACTGTATAGCAAGGTTATTGCTGAATCTGTCCACTCTCTTGGGATGCCTTTATTTTGCCGACTAATAGGCAAGGTATGTGGCCTCGAAGGTCCTGGTGTTGTCCTGGTCCCTATGGCAATCATGTGAACGTAAATTTCTCAAGCACATGCAACAACATTTGGTCTATTCGCAAACACACGTAATTCAGGTATGCACATACTATACTGAATGCGAGACTTTTTTATTCCGACGCCTTCCCCGCCAGACATTTTATTTACCAAGCGAAATGAAAGTAGAGCGTGATCTTAGCTTAGTGCAGGACGAGCCTAAAATGCGACTTAAAGAAAACTTGAGAAAACCTTGACTGATCGTTTCGGTATGCTATTGGTCTGACTTCGAGCTCTTCAAGTGTTTTAACAGCGCACTTATAGTTTCCATTTTCTTGTACATTCTAAAATTAAAACTGTCATTACTTCCTAGCTTTTCAATCTTGACAGCTTATGTACTTTTTAAATATAAATGTTTGTAAGCAAAAAAAAAAACAAGGTTTAGGTAAGTCCTTGAAAAGAAAATGTGTAACCAAGTATCGAACGCGAATTGTGACTGTAACTTATAATTATCTGACTTCTTACAAATTTATTTCTTTTAATATATTTCTCTTGAAAATTATTTGTGTACTTTGATAATATTAAATTGTTGGTTTTGAAAAGAAGAGATGGAATCTGTTATATTCCTTGAAAAAAATGGGTGAAACCTTTGCACCAAAGTGAAGTAAAGTAAAACTTTATTTACACAGGGTAGCCCATTCAGCTCTAAGGCTAGTCTCCATAGGGGCCCTGTATCTTAAACAATTAATTTACATCAAGAATTTGCATGAACTTTTACATTTAAAAAGCCTAATAAAAATACAATAATAGAATTTAAAAACTACATTAAAAAGCCTAAAAATACAATGCAAAATCACATTTAAAGCCTAAAATATTTTAAAATATCAAAGTTATGATAAAAAGAAATGTCTTGCTCAGCGGCAGAATGTTTTAATGTTTTCACTGTTAACAATGTTTAAAGAGAGTTTGTTGAAAATTTTTGCGCCCAGTAAAAAGAAAGGTCCTTTTCCCAAAATTCTGTTTAACATTTGGTTGGGATAGCCTCATACTTTACCTTGTGGAATAATCGTGAATGTTCGAAAATCTAGTAAAATACAATGAAAAATAACTAGAAAGTAATGAGTGAAGACAGAGGAAAACGAGTTTATCCTTGTGGTAAGAGCGTCTGCTGGAAAGAGTCGGCCAGTGCAGCTGCTCTATTGCTTCAGATGAGCGAGAGCAACATGTGATAATCCGTGCAGGGTTGGAGAGAGGTTTAACATTGATCAAGTGAAAAAGAATTTATTAAGGAAATTAACAGTCTATTATTTTCTTTTGTCTGGAAAGGGAAAGACAAAGTTAAACGTCCGGCTTTTATAAACCCAATTGAAAAAGACGGACTTATAATGCCCGACCTGAACTCGATGATTGGCACCCAAAGGTTAATGTGTATAAAGAGGTATTTAAACCCAGATACAGCCAGTTGGAAGTGTCTCTTAGACTTTTATCTCAGCCAGGTGGGGGGCAAATTCTTGTTTCACTGCAACTTTAACTACTCGAAGTTACCTATATCCCTCCCTGACTTCTACAAGGAATGCATCGTGTCGTGGGTTTCCCTAAACTCCATAAATCCTTCTTCAGTCTCGTAGATTTCAAATCAATTCCTATGGAATAATAGGTTCATGTGTATTGATTCTCGTTCAGTGATCCAGATGCAAAATATCAGCTTGCGAAGTTCGGGCATGCGCAGAAAGCAAAATTTCGATTTCTCTCCTCCCTTCTTTTTTCGCTTTTCTTGCCTCATTTTTTTTTCTCTTGCTCGGCATTTAGTAGGCTTCATTTTGGTGGGAAGAGTTTTTAGGAAAGCTTTTAGGATCTTAGGATTAGGTAAAAGGAAAGGTAGGTGAGCAATGGAACAAGATTTTCATGGAGATTTACAGGTCAACGTCACATGGTTTTTTGCTTCTTTCTCCGGTGTCCTTGACTGAATTGTGCTCATTCTGGTATGGTTTGAAAGATCTCTTCACTCTGCACAAGTTGGCGAAGAAAGTTGTCCTTGACGGTTTAAAACTGATGACGTCACAAAGGGTAGAAAGGAACTGGATCCGCACGGGCGGTTACGGGCGGTTCAGGTTCAAATGGGTTAAAGGGAAAAAGATTTATACAGATAAGACCCAATCTAAATTATTGTGTGAAACGCTTTCTTCTCGAATCCCTTCCGACCCAACGGCTATCAAAGAATATAACGAAATTTTCAACACTAAGACCTTTCTATTAGACTGGGAAAGAGTGTACTCATTACCTTTCAAAATAACAAAATTAAGAGAGTTTCAATACAAATACTTCACAGAATCTGTTACACAAATTTCATGTTCAAATTTGGTTTAGCTGAAACTCCATTATGCTTCTTCTGCAATGAAGAATAAGAGACACTAGAACATTTCCTCTTTCACTGCGGAAAGGTTAACACCTTCTGGAATGAGCTAAAGACCATTCTTAAATCGCAAGACCTAGTTTCTACCAACTTCGACATTAAAGATATTTTATTTGGCCTTTTTTGCTCGGATGATGATGACAGTATTCTTGTTAATTATATTATTCTTGAGAGTAAATATCTGATTTTTCTTTCAAAGTTAAGTAAATCACCTTTCTCGACTAGCCTTTTATTTGCAAAATGCAAAAAAACATACCAAATCGAACGTTTCGCTGCAAATAAAAATAACAAACTCCTCTTCCACAATAACAAATGGGAGCCTCTCCTGCCGTTGATGGAACTTCAGCTATCACCACGCTTTCACAACAACTTCCACCAAATTAGTGTAGCTTTTTCTTATTGGTTTCTTCAGGTGGCGCTTGCCTAGTGTCTAGTGTTTAGTATTTAGTGCTGTAGGTGTGTTGTGCGTTGTGTTTGTGGCACTTCAGCCTGGCAGCTGCATTCTGCATTTGTTGGAGCCTGTTCCACAGGTTATTAGGCAGGTCACGCAATAGGCTGTTACATTTGTCCAGATGTCTCGTTACAAAGGCATTAACCTACATATGAGTACAATTAAAACTGAGAAACTTCCTTATTCTTCTTTTGTTATACAAGTGGAGAATAGCGGCTTTTCAAATGTTATCAATCTGTGTGTCCATCTTTAACTGTCAATCAAACTGGCTTTGAATGAAGGTTTTTTACTTTGCTAACTGGTGCAGTAGTAGTCACTGACTTGCAAAGAGTCAATGTTAACTTTCACTAGTTGCTGTCGTCTTGATGAGCTTTGAAAACAAGCCATATAAGTATGTCTTTATTATCATCATTACAATAAAATTTATTATCATTATTGTTATTATTATTAATGATATCTATCATTATTTAACTTAAGCCTGTCCAATGGCATCCATTCTCTATGTTGGCAATGCAGTTTTGCATGTTCTCTAGAGCGACTGATTGCCCCTCGCTGGAGTTTGCTTTGAACGAGTCAAACATTGGTGTGCCATCACCATAAGAAATGCATAGACAACAGGCAGATGACATTAATTTTGATAATCGTGATCATCTTGCTTGCATAAGGGACTAACAAGAGATGACCATGTAGGATCCCTTTGAAATGCTATACTTTGCCTCGAAACGCTGCGATGTTCTGTTGTCGATAAATAATGGGTTGGAATCTGTTGTGTAGGTGGTACTTGAACCAGGAGTGCACATGCCGTGAGATGCCAAAGTGGGTGTGTAGATGGTCAAGTGAAATCACAAGGTGAGTGGTAATGAAGGCCGTGCTGAGGTCGAGTGGCACCAGGAAAGTGACTCACTGCTGGTTCATATTGAGCAATATGTCGTTCATAACCTGCATTAGCTTGGTTTCTATGTCAAGATATAGAATAGTTAGATTATCATGAGTTTGACTGAATACAGCTTCCTCAACTAGTTTAAAAGCCAATGAGAGGTTACTGATAGGGAATAGGTTGTTAATTATCACCTCAGCTCTTGGTTTCTTTGGCGTTGGGTGGATGTTGGCTTGTTTCCAGCTGTCAGGGAAACAATCAGTTTGTAACAACAGATTTAACATCCTGTTGAGAACTGGCAAGTGGACATCCAGGCAGCCACCTTGGGAATGGGCGTGGGATCCAAGGAGTGGGGCTTTGTACTTGATTTTATGATTAAGTACATGACATCATCACTTAGAGTTGTAAACGAGTTAAAGTGAGCTTAGACCATTTATAGAGGGTGGCTCCAAATGTGGATTAGAGCCAGCAGCAGCTGCATTAAGTTCAGTGCGAATGTGTTTGATATTCTGGGTAAAGAAGTTCCTGATGTCATCTGCTAACACAGTGATCAAACAGCATTTTGGCAGAACTGAACAGTTTGTGCTGGTTGTTGCTGTTCACTTGTATGAAATTGTTGCAGTAGTTTCTCCGTGCTTTCCTGATAATGAAAGGTGGCCTGGGTTTTCTTGGCTTTGATTGAGAAGTCACTGTGCACTGTTGAGGGCTTCTATTAGCCTTTCTGATTCTTCTGTTTGTTTCTGTAGCTTCTTTTTCATTGCAGTTAGTTCTTTCTTTAATTAGTTCTGTGTGTTAGCCAGAGCCAAAGAAGCTTTTAATTCCTTGAGTTCCCGCTGATTAGATTTTAGAGATTACTTCAGTTCTGCCTTATCTTTATTGAGTTTGGCATTTTCCTTCAGGATGCTTGAAATTGAAGTTTGGATATTCGTCAGCATTTCTTTTAGCTCCAACAGAATTGGGTCTTCTTCCTCCGAGCAATTTTCAAATACTTCTTCTTTGTCTCCAGCCGCCATGCTTGGTTTTGTGGCTAAGTTGAGAACTACTTCAGGGCTGGAGCCACGGTCCCCGTTATTTTTTCTTGTGTTTGTAGACATAGTAGCATTAAAAAAGTCATCGATAGCAAGCAGTAACCCACCAGTGGTTTCCAAAGAGGCTTAAAGGGCAAGGGAGGTGAATTTTCCTTGGAGCTTAAAGCGCACGTCTGGCTGCCATGGCATCACATGCCTCTCACTATCAGTCTATCTGATGAACAGATAAAGGAATTGTGTCTTCCTCTGTTATATGTAAAACAGTAGCACTACGCATGCAAAACAATGCAAAAGAAAGCTACTGCATCCGAATTTATATTCAAGTTAATTGTTCAGCTTAAAATAGAATCTTAGCTTGATAAGACTGTGTTCCCCTCATCCCAAATGAAAATGCTTTTTAGGCAGCTCAAAAAAATCTTCTCTACTCAGTAAAACTTTCTTCTGTAGTAATACCTTTGTCTGTGTGCACAGTATAAAACCTTTTTTTGTTTCCTTTTTTCTCTTCTTTTTTGGTCCCTTTCTACTTGTCTATGTACTGTAATAAGACAGTGTATTAAGCTGTCTATTGTTGCTTACTTGTACTGTAAATATCATGTAAGTTTGTTTTTTTTTCTTTAAAGTTACTAATAAAGTTGAATAATATATATATAACAACAAATGGGTCTTAAACGAAATATAAAATCCAGACGAAACAACAAATGAAAGGTGAGATATCGAGTACTACAAATGACTACAAGTGACAAGCTAACTCTTAACCTAACATGAAGTGCAAAAAATTAACAAAGAAAACTAACACAAATCACCCTACCAACTATTCTCTGTGTACTTGTTTTTAAAGATGCTCACAAATTATTTTGACACACACAATGCAGAGTATTTTATCTTTTGTTAAAAATGATCTACTTAAGAAAACACAGGGCGTAAATGCTGAAGGGCTTAAATTACATGATGCAATCATAGTTAGTAGTTGACTGCAGTTACAGTCGTATTCAGGACTATGTCCACCCCGATGATCATACTCAACCTAATTATGAATTCTGTAATATTAGCTCACCATATCAATGACTGCTGTGTTTTTATTATTGAACAGGCATATGCCTCCTTTATGAAAGGCAGTGTGAGCATTGAACTGCAGAATTGGAAAGAAGCTCTTGAATTGTTTCGCCAAGCTAAGTGAGTGATCAGTTTGTATATCTTTCATAGAACAAGTGATCAAAGACGCATTAATATACATGTTATTTTTGGTTTCTCTATAGTAATAATGTGTAAATTTCACAGCCAGTTTTACATGTATTTAAACTGTCTAGGAAAAAACCTTGATGTGATTCTGATTGGATCATTAGACTTTCATTGCCATTTGTGACTGGCCAGGGTCATTTGTTGTAGTAGATATATTGACCAATTCCCATTGATAAGTGGAGAAAATACAGTATGTAAATAACACTGTTAAGGAGCATGATGTTTCCAGTAGTATTTTAATCCTGTAGTTTGGTTTTATGAATTAATATCATTATTGAAAACCAGCCTAAATAATACGGTACAACCTGCATGTGTAACAACCACTAATGATAGTTGTAAGCAACCAGTTTTTCAGAATATCTTTATAATAATCTAAGGATCATGGCTGGAACCTCCTTATGGCAGCTACACTGTATGGCCATAATTTGGGTGATCAATTGAGATCAATCCACACGTAACATACCCGGTAAAGTCAGGAACATTGAACTGTTAAATAATCCTCTTTTTGAAGGGTTGCTGTAGCGGTTTGACTGCCTAACAGTTCCTTTGGGCTTATGATAATAATCGCTCTATTATTCATTCAAAATAATTCCTAGTTTAAAAACATTGTTAAAACATGCTTACCTGCATCAATGTTAAGTTCATCGTCAATAGTGTACTTGTAGGTTTGTCCAGCTCTGCAAATATTCTTCAAATAGCAGATGTCGCCCTCCGAGTTGTCTTCTTGCTGATTTTGCCATGTTTTTAGCTATTGTTTTGCCTAGTTCCAGCTGTAGTTCTTACTCTTGAAACGAGTGAAATGTCTGCCATTTTTTTTCCACAACCAAAACAACTCAACCTCGTCCCCAGGTCTTCTCGGTAACGGTGCCTTAACCTGTAGTGGGCTGCATTTTGAACGTTGTTTCCTCGTTAAACACAAAATTCTTCCAAATTTGGTCATCAGTAACTGGTTATGGTGAATGATGCGTGTGCCTTTAGCCAATCAGAATTGGGGGAATATTTTTAATGAATAATAATAATTATACCTGTGAAGTATTCACTTTCCAGAACCACTCCATGGAAGAGAAGATTGATAACAATAACAACAGTTGCTGATTCCATTTTTGTGTGTACAATGATCCCTGTAATTGTTTTTTATGATGAAAATGAAAACACACATCGGTTACTGCACAGCACGGATCAATGAATGAACAGCTCCCCCTTCTAAGTGTTGTTTTTTTGTTTTTCTTTGGTATTTGCTGATCAATATAGAACAATCTATGAAAAATTGGCTGGAGCATTTTCTGATGAGCAACGTGGCATGTATGTTCAGAGGGTGGAAGAGATCACACCAAACATAAGTTACTGTGCATACAATCTGAAAGAAGGAACTACAGATATCAATGATCTGATGCAGCTGAGACTGAGTGCCACTGCTTCAGGCGGAACACATGATCCGGTGTTAACTGCTAAGATTGATGTAAGTCTTTTGTTTTGATTCGCCTTAAACTGGTATACCATTACAGCAATAAGTAGAAATATTAACCATGAGTGAGGATGTCAAATCTGTATCTCAAGTTTGACATCAACATAAAAATACAACATCCTTTCTCAATTACACACCCACTTATAAATTTGGCCACAGGGGATGGAAAGAGGCTTGGTGATTATTCAGTTAATAGCTGCTGCACAAATGTTCTTTTAATGGATGAAAATTTTCTTTTGACTTTTCATGAAATGATAAGAAAAAAGTAAATTCTTTGATTTCTTTTAAAAAGACCTTGTTGGTTAAACTTTGTCCTAATAATTATAGTTATATGAATTTACTGAGGTCACTGAAGAGAAAAGATGATAAGATGATATTAGTCTTTCCCTGAAATTCTAACAACCTGTGGGCAAGGAGATTGAAGGTGGTTATTTGCTAGTTTGGCCAAGGTAATGACATCTCGGAGAACCCATAGATAGGAAGTGGGTTCAGGGGAAATTCTACAATGAAACATTAATTGCACCATTTCCCGTGTCCAGTACTGTCTGCACCTGGATATCTGAGGATGAGAGGTTGGGCAAAAATCTCACTGATAAATATTCAGTTCTTCCTATGTCTGAGAGTTTAACATGTATTACTCCTACAAGATACCGTTAATAAAGGGAAATGTCTTAAGGTAATACCACTTGCTAAAGTGGTTTTGTTTTAAAGTAGGACAGGTTTTTTTAATAGTTTTTTACATTAGTGACTACAAATGAACAATCAGAAACTATTGTTATTTGTGTGAAGGTGCATGATGATTTAAATTCATAATGTGTTTCAGAACATTCTGTGAAATTAATTACAGTTGTGACCCAGCACTGATATTAAATTGGTAACTACTGTTACATTTGTCAGCAGTTACTTATCACAAAAGAGACCATTATTATTTTGTTACTTAAATGTACATGTACCTTTTATTACATTTGGTGTCAATTCAGTTTGACAGTATTTTTTATATTTCATTAGGGTCCTTGTTGCATTTGGCACCAAGTTTTAAATATGTATTCTCAACGGTGCTAAATTTTATGTATACATTTCTATGTAATGTTCAGGAAGTCATTGCTCAGACTCGAGATAAAGAGGCTGCCAGTATGACTGAGGTCAGCTGGCGTGGCAGGACTGTGCCAGTCAAGAATGAGAAAGTGCGTTCATTCATATTGCATGCACAACAAAGTGCTAGAGAATTGGACAGAGCTGAGACATTGGACAGCAAGTTAACATTATATGATGATTTACTGATGGAATGTAAAGATGCCCTGCAAGCGATCAAGGATGAGCTGAAAGTAGACACAGTGAGTTCTGACTTTCTTTTGTTGAAATTCTTAATTCCTAATACCCAAGTCTTAGACTGGTATGAGACAGCAGTTGCCTTATATACATGTGTGAAGTTGGTCAAATTTAAACAGTGTGTCAGCCAAAGCGAAAAACATTTTCCACTGTTGAGTTTCTTCTATTTTCTGATAAAATTTTATTTTTTTCTGATAAAATCGTTTCAGCTGTCGTTTGGTTTTGGAAAAAGATTCAGATAAATCGGCAAAAATTTACAAGAAAAACGACAGTTCTAACTGAGCCACCATACTGTGTACTTATCAAGTCATTAAATGATTCGTGTTGTGCATAGTTGAAACGTATATATCCAGCTCCAGTTGCTGGATAGCACTGTCCACCAGATAAATTACCATCCAGCGGATCAGTATTAGTTCTTTATGGTGTGTGTATACCCTATCTGGCCGGGCGTACACTAAATGTAGAGCAAAATTTATGGTGTTGTTTAAGATTATTTGATTTGTATGTGGTGTAAAGTGAGGGATTTTCTTTCCCGTTTGGACAAATATAACATACACGTGTAACGAGAATGGACTGTGTCGATTTGTGTTTTAACCCTTTACAGAGTGAATGTTTGGGTCTTGTATGGTAGTGCTAACAATTGAGTCTGGGGACAAAATCCTGTCGTATTACCATTTAAATGAAACACTGCAAAAGATGATCTTTTGCAGGGCCACTTGTGGAAGTGAAAGGATCAAAGTTGATTGGTATCTGTTTTTGCAGGTTTCTGGAAAGCTGCGTTCTCAAAAGACGGAGACACAAGTTGGAAACATGCAATTCCTTCATACTTACATTACTTTCATCCGCTTAAGTAAAACAGTTGAAAGGAATTTGCTGATGGCAGAGTCAATGAAGTCCAGTTTACCAGCCACCCTGCAGCTGCATTCTGTGGAGGAAGGGACCTCGTCAGAAGCAGGCCCTTCTGGCAGAAAGACTGCTAAACCAGAGGACCTTGTACGGATATATGACACTATTTTGCAGGTGGGAACATAGGTTACGATTATTGATTTTTATAAAGTCAAACTACCTCCATTCTTCACAATGGTCACGTTCTTTGTGCTGGCAAACAGGCCACAGCCCATATATTCACTCTTGTGTGAACCTCTCTCCCACAGTTAACTCTCTTAATGTCCGTATTAGTGTCTGTAAGCTGCAGTTACATAATCTCTTAACGTTTTGTATCCATCGTTTGGTAGCAAGAGTGCTTTTTATAAGTTTTGTATTAAAACGAAACATCTAGCTATAGCAACTATTGCATTATTGCTCGAGCTTCCAAAGGAAACGCTCGAGCTTGAAAATGAGCTCTTTTTTTGCTCCTGGCACAAATTGCCCTCTGGCGTCTTCTGCGCGTGCGCAAGATATAAGAGTATGCTAAAATAGGTCAGCGGACTAAAGCAGAGCACACAGGGCCCCTTGTCTTAGGCGAGCAAAGCCTTCTGTCTTTGGTGTATAAAACTCACTGTTATCGTAAGAGTGAGTTCTGTCATTTCTTACATGCGAAATCTTTAAACCAAACGCATACGCTGTTCATCTGTAGATCTACAGTAAAAGATGGCGAGAGTAGATTTGGAACGGTTCAGTTCATTCGACTGACTTTACAAGACCAATTTACTACAAACACTTCCGATTGAATCTTACAGAGAAGCCCTCTCGAAGTAGGTGAACTACCCGCGGAATTTGAACAGAGTGTTTGTGATGAACTTTAACTTAACTTTAACTTTATAGCGGAGCTCTCGTGTGCGTGAAGCGCGTGCAGCGGAGCACCATAGATAAGAAAATTTAGTTATCTACCCATCCGAGAAAAATTGGTTATGACGTCAGCGTACTCCGTCCGTCCGTTTCTGTGGGGGTGAAAGAAGGGAATCAGGTGACTGCCCGTTGGGGGCGGAGTATGATGTATTTTCTTGGCGGGAAATGGTGCGATGCATTTGTGGAACCCTCGTGTGACCACTGTCGTCGCGTTCAAAAACTTGTTTACTTTAAGGATTTTGTGACCGTGATGGTGGAAAAAATTGTTATGGCAACAAACAATAGCGGATCAAATTCAACGTATTTGCTTATAAGCAGAGAGGAAGAATTATCAGGCGAAGAGCTAGCAAAGAGAATCGCCGAAGAGAAGTGTCTATGCTGCATCTGGAGACTTGTTTACTGACAGCTGCAGAGTTTTATGTCATCTTATTATGATTTAGCCGTCGTTTTCTACTGGATCTACTCAAATACAGCTGCTATCAAGATTCGTTTGTTACTCTTTGCTGGCGTGTTTAATGGGTTTTTGGTTGAGAAATGTGCCGCTTGAAAAAAGTAAGCTTTCAAAAATAAGCTTCTCTTAGTACTTTCCCTTGCTGGATGCGTAAAAGGGTGAAAAATCTTCCGCGATTCTGGCCTTAGTCGATGGCTATCACGAGCTGCATCTCGACCAGTTAGCTTGAGTAATTACAGTATTGCATTTGATGTTTTTTTTTCTGGTTTAATGTTCATGAAGTCGAGCATTGTTTATGCCATCACTTTATGCGCATTCATTTGATAAGATTTCAGACAATGATCTGACCTAGTATAGAATTTATTAAGTCTTTAGAGATTTTCTGACTGCGATTAAAAAGAAGTCGTTCTGAAAAATATTTAGATCATTTCGACCTCTAGGTTGTAAAACGAAGCTATGAGCGATGTTCTTGCCTCGAGTTCATCTTCAAAATCAGCAACAGAAACAGGGCGAAAATCTGCAAGGTTTTATTCATGACTCATGATTTTCAGAGACACTTCAATACATATCTTCGTGAATAAACATTGTTGTCCTTTTAAATGTTTCATTGAATTATATTATTTCTTTGTCTTGATTGTTTGTCAAGATCTCTTTTTTATCGCTTTTCCGGTTGTCGTTTTCAGTCGTACATGAACATCGCATGCAGGAGAACTCAAAATGTCGCGTAAATCAAATGAATATGGAGTTAAGAAGTAAAAGCGAGAAAAGGCGACACGCCACGTGTCGCCTTTTCTCGCCTGGGGTGATTTTCACGCGCGCTCGCGTTTTGCTCGCTCTACTATCCATGAGAAAAAATGGGAGACTACTCGTAGTCTATCTTGCTATTAGTGTTCATTCAAACACCCGACAGTTCGCTCTGGAAGTTTGGATGGGTGATTTTGGAAATTATATTAAAAATAGATGTTTTCGAAAGTTTTTGCTCAAAGCCGATCATTTAATACCCTGCATAATTGAATAACAGCAGAATGACCTGACTGAATAGTCCCGTCTTATGGTGCATTCTCTCTATACTTGCAACGTTTTATGTTGTTTTGTCATATTTATAAGCATAATTTGTTGTGGAAAAGAGAAGCGCGTGCTTCGATCGTCTCGAGAAAACTGCAGAATTATAAGTAATTTGCTCCAAGGTCTGAACGATAAACAAACAATGCCTGGTAGTTCTGTTTACCTCAGAGGTGATGTAGAAAGGCGGGTTTTCGTGCTATCATGCCAACACCAGATTTGTAAAGTAAACCTGCAGCGTACACAAAAAAAATCTGGCCTGATTCAGTTTTCACTTTGGCCTTTCCTTTAGACAGAGAGATGAAAAAGAATAAGTTTCTAGTACTGTTTGTAAATTGGCTGTTCCTAGGACTATCGTGTCTTAACGGCCATTATAGTATAAAATCATATTTTGGGACTGTCTACTTAACCTTATAAAATAAAGGTGGTGTAGGTGGGCAAATAGGTCATTTTGCTTGGGAAGAATTTGTTTTACACGTCTAATCTACCGTGGTCGAAGGTGATTGCTATTTTTTGGTTGTAAGGTTTTAGATCTTGTTTTATTCTTGCACTGTTTGAAAATTATTTTTTTCCTTTCAAAAACGTATTAATAATTCATGAGCTCAACAACCTATCACGACGTCATTGTGTCAAGTCCCCCCAAATGTCTAAGTTAGTTTCTCGAGTCTTCAGTTCCCGACGCTAACGTAGAATTTGAACTTTCATTTTATGGTGTACAAGTCGAACGATGATCGGCCTGGGTGTACAACCTCTCTTGCCAGTACGGTGGGAACGGCTTAAATGGTCTGAAGACACTAATACCAAGTTGATTTAATAGGAAAGAAGTCAATTGCTTTCGCGTTAGTATCTTCAGGGTCAGTGCCAGTGGGCTCAGAGATTCCAAATATCCGGATGTTAGCACTACGAGTATACTGTTCTAAATCATCTACTTGTTCGCGTAGCATGGCATTCGCATCCTCCAGACCGGCGATTGTTTCTTGCCAAGCTTTAGTAATTTCCTGTAATTTCCCAACCTCGAACTGTAAGGTTTTAGGAAGCGAGCTTTTCAACTGAGTATAAGATACGTATTCACCAACAGCGGTGCGAGCCATAACGAGATCCTTTGTAAGCTGAGGAAGAGTAGTAGAAATCCATTTATTTAGTTTAGTCTCAAAATGGGACCAACTCTCTTCTGACCAATTCTGGTTCATCGCTGACCCAGAAATCAGGTCTTGAGAAGCCGCTTGTTGGTTGTGAAAGGCTGCTCTGGTCTTTCCCATGATGAAGAGGATGAGTAAATCGTTAAAGTAAAAGAAAGGAGACTAGAAGGTATTACGCTTCCCTACATAATCTCCAAAAGTTGAGGATTAGGGGAGCATCAAAAACCATACGTCTATCTTGTTTGAGAACCGCTGATCAGAGTCAGAATATTGTGCAAGACTCTTGACTAATTTTTAAGGTGGCCCGAACCTATTTATATGCGTGTTGGTTACGTTTTTGATTTGCGTTTTTCAGAATGAAAGATTCCACCGATTTCTGTGATGTTTGGCATACCAAATAAATAATGATGGAACTTTAAGAAAATATTATTTAGCAAATAAGCCTCAGAGCTCTCTAGTTTTACATCTGCACGTTTGAATGCAATCGTGACCGTAGAACTCGCCGCACAAAATGCTGGTCAAATTTAACCTTAAAATGCTACGCTAACACATTTGTGAAAGGTGACGCACGAATAGAGGTAGAGTGCCGACAGACTATCTCCTCCGTGAAAGGATATTCCTACCTAAAGCTTTATTGCAAGAAACAGAGTAATCAGAAACTTACGGCAAACATAGTTAGCACTACAAGAAGAACAACTTTATGCTGAGTGCGTGGTAATATTGCAGAACTTCTATTCATCAAACTTACGTTGTATTTGTCTCTCTCTTTTGGAAACAAATCTTAACAAAGCAAAATATATTGTCTACGAAAAACTGTCAAGAGTTTTTATCGTCGCAGGTTCTTGTTTTGAAGAGAAAAGGCTACCAACTCCAGTACTTCTAACCATCCATTTTTCAGCTGCAAGGAAAACCCTTGTATTTGGTAATTTATTCAAGCTTTTTAGACTTGCCATCACATTCGCACGGGAAGTTTACCACTTGGGAGTAAAGATGAAGACAAATATGACAATCGTCTTATTCTTCTCATTATCCCCAACAGCAAACTGCCCGTAAACAAGTTTCAAGATGCTGCATACATTTCCCGCATGAACTCACCTGTCAAATTTTGACCAATAAGAGCCTAAATATTGGGCGCAGAGCGTGACCAACGCGTGACCATGCTAAGAAAAGGTCTTCCCCGCCTGTATTTTTAAATAACTAGCTGAATTTTCGCGTCCATAGTTAGTTTGAAATCAAAATCTGAATAGTGCGACGCCTTCGTGACATAAACACAACATATTTTATATAAATTTAAAAAATAATAAACTTGAGCCTGCGAACATTTGAAAACCAGTAACTTGTCAGCGGATAACTTAAAAAAGTACTCAACCTCGATGGGTCAGTTTTGTGTCAACTTGTGATGTTTTTAAATGTCTTTTTCCACTGGATGTGCAAAATGAAATACAGCTGCTATCAAGAGTCCTCTGTTATTCATGGCTAGTTTGTGTATTGGTTTTTTGGTTGAGAGATGCGTCGCTTGTCAAAGTCGGAAATCCGATTTCGGATGGCATCGTTTTCGTTTTTCACCTTGCTTGATGCGTATTGAAGAGGATTCAAAATTCTCGAGCGATTCTCGCGTTACTTCGGTTACTTGATAGCTTTCAGGAGCTGCATCTCGAATAGTAAGCCTGAGTAATGATTGCATTTGATGTTTGTTTTTTATATCTAATTTCATGTAGTCGAGCAGTTTATGCGGCAAGCTTATGCACGTTTGTAAGATTTGCGACAATGATCTGACCTAGTATCAGGTTTGATATAAGCTTACAGAACTTTAAAAAGCCCTAAGATATATTTTCTCACTGCAAATAGAGAGAAAACGTTGCGAAGAATATTTAGTTATAAATTTGGCTGTAGAAAAAAAACTTTGAGCGATTTTGTTGCCTCGAGGTCGTCTTTGAGAAAAGCAAACACCAGGAGGCCGGCTTAAAACATAGACTAGCTTGAAGACTCAGGATTTTTAGAAACGCTTTAACACTTGTCTTCGTGAATGAAAATTGTTGTCTTTGTAAATGTGTCAGTTCTTTTATTGATTGTTAGTAGTCTCTCTTGCAATTTTAATCGCTGTGGCGTTTGTTTTCAGTCGTTCATGAACATCGCTTACAGGAATTAACTCAAAATGCTGCGCGTATCAAACGCTTTTTAAGATTACACATCGTTATAAAACCCTTAAATAAAAAAAAAAACATAATAAATTCTTTATTATGTTGAAGCGTAACTCTATTAATGTTCACTGCAAATTTGGCGCTTGTCAAAAGTGAGAACTGGCTGACCGTATAAGTGATTTTGGAAATTTTTTGTAGGGTTTCGCTAAAAGCCCACAATCGATCGTCCTGAATATTGACTGAATGCAAATTGTCTTGAAAAATTGTGAAATACAGCACTCTTTCCTAGGTCTGTATGATAAATAGTACTGTTTCACCTTAGATTTAATGTATAAAAAGCATAAAAGGTTGGTTTACACACCCCCGGATTTGTTGGCAAGATTTTGTAAAGTAAACTTGTCGAAAGCAAAAAATTTCGTCTGATTTGTTTTCCAAGAATGTTTTCCAGGTCTAATCTACTGTGATCAAGAGCCATTACGGCTCTTGAATGTGATCGAAGATAATTGCTATTTTTTGGGTGTACACATGGCTAACAACTCGATGTACGATGTTTCACTCTAAAATCACTTAGCCTTTCCCTCAAAAGTCACATGAATTTGCCCTTAAGTTAACTGATTTGTGGATTACAAATTTGTTGTTTGATTTAAATAAGAAATGTATCAATGGGAGCTTGGCTTTTAGCCCTGGCTAAATCTATACATTATTGCTGGTCTTTACACTAGAGCCTAAATAAGCTAAGAAATATTTCAGAAAGCTTTACGCACAACCTATCTTGTTTTCTTCAGGTTTACTTAAGCCTTTTTTTTCCCACACAACATAATTAAGATTGATTGACATGCTTCGCCTTTCTCAAAGCTTAGAAACCGCAAGTTCGGTAAGTCGGTTTTAAGGATGGTTTTCAAGTCACTTGAAACTTTCTTGAATCGTTCCAATTTTCCAACTTTAATGAGAAAAGTTACTTGAGATTTTACTTAGGCCTTTACACGTATTTTTTGGTTAAGTAAAACTTAGCAGCTCTTAAGTCTTACTTAACAGCCTAGTGTACAAGACAACCATTATCTTAAATATCCTGATTTTTATGATTTTGTAGAACCTGACTGACATGGCTGAATTACCAGGAATCAATGAAGACTTGACTTTCTCCAAAGAAATTGCGGCTAAAATTCTTCAGTACAAAGCTCAAAGGTTTGGCACAATCCACCTACTGCTACGAGCAGTACTCAACGTGACGCCAATGCCACCCTGCGTGGTGTGCGTCGAAAGGGCTAGGGGAGAAAGGGCCAAGGGGAAAAAAGGAGAAGAGTCAGGGAGGCCATTGAAATATTTTGTCGAGCTCCAACATTGAACAGGGGCGCTTGTTACGTGCTCCCCGCGATCTATCGGGACGTTATACCACATGATTCACAGTATAAATCACGTGCCAAAACGCCCAAATCCATCACTTGATAAAGATTCCTCGATGGAATCGAAAGGTTGTGTTTTTCTTTCCGGTAAATTGAATCTTCGTTTCATTGTAAACAGACACTGTGATGGCCATACCATGGTACAATTGATGAAGATTCACCACAAGCATACCTATATAAAGCGATCGCCCTCGATAGCAAGTGACCCTATAACGAAAGATGACTTCTTGATGTTTAAAAAGTTAATATTGGTTAACTTAAGCCTTCTTTAGCCGGTAGAAAGACAGTTCGATTTCACTGTTAACCCGCTGTTTTTCTTGTAGGTGCTTATTTGTGGCACATTCGTATCTTTTTTCCAAGAAGTGGCCCGAGGCAGTGTCATTATATGCCCGTGTAGTTAGTCACGCAAGCTCTGCTATCACGCATCTCCAAGAATTAGACTCGATTGAATCACAGGTTTGTACATATTATTGTCTATTTGCAGAGGAAGATGCACTTCACAAGGCGACTATCCAGAGCTTTTTTTTTTATCAATGAACAGTTATCAACAGTTGACGATCCAATAGATATAATTATTGACGAACTATGTAATAAAACTGCGGTGGAACTTGTATGGCAAGGGCACAATCGAAACCCTTTCTATCGTTCGCCTCTTTACCTTGTCCGCTTATTACAGGTTTCGTTTCACACTGATTTTTACCGACAGTATTTTTTTTTTTGCAACAGGCCATAAACAGCCTTCAGGAATTGATTTCACAGGCGAGAGGCTTCAAATGTTCTGCTCATGCGTCCCATATCTTAGGTAAGTGCTAGTAATCTCTACAATATCTTTGACAGAAAAATAATAATAATAATAATAATAATAATAATAATAATAATAATAATGATAATGATATAGTAATAAAATGAAGCAGCTGTTGAAAAGCTTCCACCTTTGTCGAGTCCTGTTTAAAGGACATTATAGAGGACACTATTTTAAGAACACTTGTCTATGTCAAAGAGTCTGATCCCCCAGATGCACCACACCATCGTTTGACTGGCGATTTTTTTCCTGTCCAGTCAAGGTGGCTCCGTTATTAATACTGGAGCATTTAGCTGTGACAAATTTTCCGTCATAACTTTTTCGTTTTTAACGCGATGGCTGCGAAACTTTGCAAAGAACAACAGATATCATCCGGCCATAGTACCAAATATTCCGATTTCATTGATGGTACTTTTATATTTCTTGAGAAATTAGCGCTTAAAAGGACCCTACTGTTCAAACAAAATCGCTTCTAGTAAAAAATTTTGCTGGTATTTCTTACTGAAATTTCTGGTATCGGCCTTAATTGATATAATAAATATGCCGGAGAAATTTCAGAAAAATCGTTGGAGCAGAAGTCCGTAACTAAAAGTCGCTCAAAATTTAGCTGTGAAATTGTTTTGGAATTTCAAAAATAAATTACTATCAGGTAGAAGAAGACACTAGTTCGAATTTTCGGTTAAAGTAAATTGCTTATTCTGAAAACAAAAGGCGATTGCCTATTGTGCTATTCTTTAAAAGGTACTTTTTAGTTTTAGAGGCACTATAAATTGCTCCAACCTTGCTCTGACGTCGAATTGCTTGTTCCTTGACATTTTTAAAATATCCCTTGACAGTTTTGGTTCAAACTGCTGCTACATACATTTTGATGCATTGCAATGTATCCTCAACGGCTTTTCCCGCCGATACGAGAAATTTCAGTAAGAAATATCAGCAAAATGTTTTACTAGAAGCAATTTTCTTTGAACAGTAGGGTCCTTTTAAGCGCTAATTTCTCAAGAAATATTTACCATCAATGAAATCGTAATATTTCGTACTACTGCCGAACGATATCTGTTGTTCTTTGCAAAGTTTCGCAGCCATCGCGTTAAAAACGAAAAAGTTGTGACGAAAACTTCGTCACAGCTAAATGCACCTGTATTAATGACGGAGCCACCTTAAAAGTTTTCATTTTCAACAAGAAAGCAACATGCTATGCTCAATTCTACTTGGAAAGCAAACCCTTATCTGGTAAAGACTCAAGTAGGTTTTTGGGGGTGAAAGAATTATTACGATTCACGTTTTGGAAAGTACGCCTTTACTCAAAATAAAAGTACCCTAATTTTGTAGTAAAAGTCAATACTTTTTATCCTGATTATAAACAGGCTTGTGGCTCCTCGTTAATGGTCTTATTATTCTCCTTTGCGTTTGGATCCTTTCCTGTGCAATCGAACTTTTCTTCGCGGACAACTTTTTATATGGACATTTTTTTGTTACATACAGTTTCTTGGTCCAGAAGATACCAGACTTCGTACACCTCTGCAGTACATACATAAGCCCCATGCAAATGGACGCAACTTTGTTGCTAACAACTCCCAACATTGTTGGCTGTTACATGTTCCATCCGTTTACACGGCTTTCTTTTGTTCCGAGATCGCCGAAGCGTAGCGCAACAATGTTGGATCCGTTTGCGCAGCTCTTCCAACATTTTCGGGGCCATGAACGCGCATTAAACATGGTTTTCTTGGAGTCTGCGAAGTCTTCTTGGGTTGTGTCCTTCCCACGAAGCACTGCAGGTCCCAACATTATTGGGCGTTGCTGCATCCGTTTGCATACATACATACAGAAACTTTATTTTTCCTCGAGTTTAAGAATAGCCTTAATGAACTAATATTTCCGAGAGAAAACAAAATCTTACGGAATGGTAATAGAAAATAAGACTATATACATTATTTGCAAAAACTATAAACTATACATTACACAATACTTTAAATCATATACTATCTGGGCCAGTTCATTGGTTCATTGGTAGTAAGTTCCAATGTTTAGCTGTATTATTAGGAAAAAGAAACAAACACTGAAAAATTACACGACAGTAGAAATCAACCCTTAAGCATTGTCGCGTAATTTTTACGTGCCTAAATAAAGTAGAGGCGATATTTGAAAGGTCACACGTTAACGGAAAAGTTGAGCGAGATTCAACTTTTACGTTTAAGCGTGATCTTCCATAAATTGCCTCTATTTCATTGACGCGCGTTATGTTTACGTGCTTACGTACGTAAAAATTACGCGACAGCAGAAATCCGCCTTAAGGGTTGATTTCCACTGTCGCGTTATTTTTCCGTGCGAACGTACGTAAAATTTACGCGCGTAAATGAAATAAAGGCAATGTATTGAAGGTCACGCGTAAACGTAAAAGTTGAACGGTTTACCTTTACGTGCGTTCGCACGGGAAAATTACGCTACAGTGGAAATCAACCCTTAAGCGGTAAATTGCATATGCTATGGTTATAATCCATCTCACTCTGGTAGTGAATATGTTCAATCATTTTCACAGAGAAAGAAGAAGTTGCAGACGAAATGTGTGATATGTCATTGAATGAGAAGGTATTGTATTTGATAGCTAATCGATCTTGTGTATTAATATGAGAGACGTCTGTTGACTCGAGCAGTTGGGTTTCCTATTTACATTCACGACTATTAGACGGGAATGGGTGTGCAGCTCAAACTGTGAGCCTGAGTGTTTATTGCCCAAGAAAATGCACCAAAATTTCCTTCCAGCAGCAGCCTTCTGACGCTACTTAAGATTAATGTGAGTTATTTAGAACTTTTTATTAATCATTTTATCACGGCTATTGAAAATATAAGGTTTGAAATATACTTTCGTTTTATTTCAGTTCAAACATACAGAATTTTTTACTTCTCACGGAGATTCATGGTGTCGGATTTTCACTAGCAGGTCTATATCGAGCAAAATTCAGATTTTATCTATTTCAAAGTTTTTTGTTTATTGTTGTCACAGTGATCGATTTTACTAAAAACTGCATTTTGACAAACTTCAATTCATAATCAATCACTGTTGAAAATTTTGTAGCGATCGGACAAGGATAAAATCACTTTTAAGGTGATTGAAAACCATCAGTATGGTCAGGCCATGCTATTTGTTTTGGAAAGGTCAATAAAAGAGCGAGGTTTGTTTTTTATTGTTCTTTAGAGACATTTTTTTGTGAGGATTGTTCTGAGAATTTTGATTTCGACCCACTTGATTTTCAAACTGTTTTGTGCAGTGTGAATAAGAAGGTACTCACTTGACAACACATACCTAGGTTGTTTATAAAGTCGGATTTTAATGACCAGTAACACAAATTGCGCTTTCAAGAAGTCCTTTGATCGTTTACATCACACAGATGAAATATTAAGTTTAAGCTTTTCTAACAATCCTGTCAACAACACTGCTAGATTTAATTTAGCTAAGTAGAATTGAGCTTATAGTTTGTTATTCGGTCTATTTTTTACGCAGGTTATAAATGATAATAACGATAATGGTAATGATAATGATGATAATAAATTATGCGCTTATATTGCGGAAATATCCATAACAATGATCAAATGCGCATTACATCAAAGAATTACACGACTATTTACAATACGAAGTACAATAAGAGTATGTACATTACTATAATACAAGATCTAAAATATTGATATGTATCTAGTAAAAATTCAGGTAATTATAAGCAGACTTGAAAGGTGTGTCTCAAGATGGCGAATAAAAATAGGCAAGTGAGGATTGTCGCGAAGTTGGCGCGGTAAAGCATTCCATAACTTAGGCGTAGCCACTTGAAAGGACCTATTATCTAGTGTAACCTTAGTTCTGATTGTTGGCGACGCTAGCAAAATCCCACCAGACGTTCTGAGGCTATATTGGCCTTGCGATTCCAGAGTAAATACGATTCGTGACATTAGAACTTGGGTCAATTGAACGAATAACGTTGACATGTTGTGGTGGACGCCCTTTTCTGTCTCGCTTTCAGTGTTGGCCTCGAAGGTCTTTTGTGAATTTTCAGCCGTGTAGCTCAAGAGTAGCGATTGCAACGGCCGCCGAACCATTCATGTCAGGCTTGAATGGTTTTCCATACAAATCCCTGTACATTTTGAACTTTTATTGTTTTCCTCGGGGTCTAGGAACTTGCGATTGCGACTGATGTTATGTAAATGAAAGACAGCTGAGCTACAGAGCTTGCTGATATGAGTAGCCATACTTAAGTTAATAATCAAACGGAACCCAGATTCCTGACAACTAGCTTTGCGTTCACTACAGACTCTTCAACAGTAATGCTATACTTATGTTAACCTTAGCTACGTAACTGTTGCCTGGTACTGAGGAGCAAAATCTAAAACGTATCATCATTTAACACGAGTCGGGCTCTAATCATCCACTTCTTAAAGCGCAACAGCGATGAGTTTGTTTCAGTTCGGCTTTTTAGCGAGAAAAACCTTGCTTTTTTTAAAACTATACCTTTGAATTCATGTTACACAAGAATAAATTGTTTCTTTCCCCGCCAGTGGATCAAAGCTGGTTTCAGCTCCGTACATCGATGGGGCTTTGAACCCGAAAGTGGAATTTGTTAAACTTGCTTTTCTTCCATGGGCGACCGAAATATAATTCTAAATATGCTTTGAAATAATCATTTAAGAACCAAGCAGGACAACGCAGCAACAACAAAAAAGAAGACAAGAGAAAAAGTCGGAGTCCTCCACAGGATATTAGGGACTTTAAGATAGGATGGCATGCCACTGCGCATGATCGGAATCACGTGACTGTTTATTTTTCCGGCGTAGTCCAGCGGCTACGGTGAATTGTTGAGCGGTTTCGCGCAGTCGCGACTACGGAGAACATTTTGCTCGCATTTTGCCGTCTCGGTAATTCTACAATTTCAATTCACGTGCTTTAAGTGAGAGGGAAGCTAAATATGTAAGTTTTCTCTAACTCAAGATTCACGCTTTAAATATACTCGAGCCACTTAAAGTTGTGACTACATTTTTATTTGTTGCCCAATCAAAATGGCAAAAACATCTTTGAGATAATCGAAAGCATGGCGATACTGCAAACTACATCAATAATCGGAGAAGACCATCTTCTAAATCTAATAAAATACAGAAGAATTATTTTCATTATTCTTAAGATAAGATCACATGCAAAATAATTGCATTTTTGTGAACTGAATATGAAAACAAGAAAATCTTTGCTTGTTGTATCCCCCTCTATTCCCTTGTAGTGTACTATCTGTAGTCTGCAAACTTAACGTGCTATTTTTGTACGACTCATCCCAGTGCTACAAAAGGACAACGTTCGTCCAGCCGTAGTTTGCAGTCCGTAGTTGTATCTTAAAGTCCCTATTCGCCGCTGGTCACCCAACTGGTTTCTAACCGCGACTGGCACACTTATTTCTAGTACCGAAGCTGTGCGCGCGAGCGTAGCCCCATACCTAAAAAAATGTGGTAATCTACCCATCCGAGAAATTTTGGTAATCACGTGACCGTCCGCACCACAGACCTACAAATGTAAAATTACTCAATCAACAGTTGTGACAACCCAAATGCACCTCGAGGTTAAATCGAGGGGAAATCGCATAGCCACAACAACGACAACAATAACAACATTGTATTTATTTAAAGAAATATAAAGTTACAATTTTATGTCCTGCAAATAGCTATAATGCTAATCTAGGCAGGACAAGACTTTAAATAAAGACGTTATTAAATTACATAAGAAAAAAGAAAAGAAAAGAAATACAAAAACATACAGATAGAAATACCTTACATATAAATTCAAGTACAGGGGATTTTGTTATTTGAAAAGGACTAAAATTACAAGTGGAGGTATATACAACATATGAGGTTAACTTCACAAAATGTTCTAATAAATAATTCACATTCAAATAGTTATCTTCATTACCTAGAATATTAAGGAGTAGTGATTTTTTTTTTTTTACACAAAATTAGGTATGTTGAGAGTCTTAACAGAAAGTGGAATAGAATTCCAGATAGACACACCAATTCTAGTAAAAGATGTTTTCATTTTTTCAGTTCTAGAAAATTTGACAGAGAAACATTCTTTTGCACATAATCGCATATTATAATGATGTTTTGTATTGATTTTCGCAAACTTATCGAGAAGACTTTTAGGAGCTGTCTTAGCATGAACGTCATACATTAAATAGCTTAACTGTTGAAAGAACAAAGACTGCAAAGGAAGGCAAGTTGATTCAATAAAAAAAGGGATTGCATGGTCTCTGGGTTTAGAAAAATAAATCAAACGCAGTGCACGTTTTTGCAGAATAAGTATCTTATTGAGGTAGGTCTGTGGACAGTTGCCCCATGCACAGATACCGTAATTTAAATAAGGAACAATAAGTGCGTGATATAAATTCAAAAAAGATGCCGTGGAATGTAGTGCCTCATTTTAGCACTAAATTATTCCAACCGATCTACTAATTTTGTGACTGAGCGGTGCATGATTTATGGTTTTATCAAAGTGTTCCCAATTAATTGCACTTAGGTCATTCATGAATTTATTAGCATTAAAGCTGGAATAATCCCTAAATTTAGTCTTTTTTGTATGTGGTAATTTTTGCTTGTTTACATTGACAATACAGACTTGCGAAAAATGATCGGTTGTATCGGTGACGATATTGCCACTAGAAATATTATACGTCAGGTTATTTGTGAAGATATTGTCAATTAAAGTCGCTGAGGACCCATACCGCGCTCTTGATGGCTTATCGGTTGTAGGAGGCATAGAAAAACTTTGCATACACTGAAGCAGTGTCTGGCTTTATTTACAGTTTTCATATTTTAGCAAGTCTATATTGAAATCTCCCATGAGATATATATTATCATTATGATTACTGAAATACTCGAGGAAATCCGAAAGATAGTCAGAAATTGGTCTGCATCATTATGTTGTCGGTAAACAATGCCACAGATATTTTTCTTGTGATTTGGTGGTAAAATTACTGGTAGTGGTAGTGCTTGATAAGAGGAATCAGTAGAGCTTTCTAAGACTCGATATTTATAGTTTTCATTAATAAGCAATAGCCAGGTAGTTGTGGTATAAAATCAATAGATTCGCCTTCGCATAAATGCACTTTTTGCACTTTTTATTTGAGTATCAGTGTATTTAGCACGAAAGTGCTAACTGGGGACACTATATTTTACGTCTCCTAATGGAGACGGGACCGCCATTTTACGTTGTCTCACGCGAAGGTCTAGCCGGTTGTAGTGCAAAAGAAGTACCTTCATTTCTCAGTCATTTTAAGACCCTGAGTGTTGGTCCGTCCCCGGGAATCGAACCCGCAACCTCCCGCTATGCAGTCAAACGCTCTACCGACTGAGCTAATCCTGCCACGGTCAAATCTTCGCCACCCGCATCTTGTGAAGCTGAAACAACTAAGGAGTCCATGAAGACGAAGAACATATACGACCTTTCCTCCATAAACCGTGTAACCAGGAAGTTTCAAGTTTCTGGACATTTCACGTTATTGTAGTCGTGCAAAACAACGGCAAAGAAATGTACAAAAAAGTGTGCTGCACGTGCAAAGTTGTTTTTGTTGTAATTGTTTTTTCACCGTTCTCGTTGCCGTCGCCGCTTAGCATCACACGAGTTTATATTTAGTTTGAGCAAACCATAAATGTTACCGAGAACTTCGCTTTTAGCCTTGCCGAAATCTATATATTATCCATAGATACGGAGTTGCCTCCTAATTACATGACTACACTTAACCTACCTATTCTACAAGACAGACTAATAAACCAATTGTTTGATAAATGTGATTTTAGTGGTTATTACATCAATCTGAGAGGTCAAGCAAAAAACTGACTTTTCAGTGTTTTAAACCAAATAAGGTGAATTTATTTATACATGGTAATTCAAACGACAATTCTCCTTTGCGTATTCATACCAATATAGTTCGTTGGTATTTTCTTTGAAGAAACTCGTTATGACTAATGTGAATGTAGTACTGCAAAGTCCTGGTTGTCTAAAAAGTGGATACTATCCAGTAAAGAAAGCGATTAGTTTCCCTAATATCTAGTGAGGATAGCGTTATCCACCTTCTTAACAATACTCAGACGTTTCGGGACGGCTGTCCGTTCGTTAGTGCTGAGATTCGTGCAAACACATTTGGTTTGGGCAAAAATCTCACTGATAAATGATCAGTACTTCCTTAACGTCTGAGAGTCTAAATCATTTGTTGCTGTTGCAAGATACTATCATCTTCAAACAGTTGCCTATCATTAGCGGTACACAGTTTAACTATCTCTCTAATCATGGATTTTTTCAATTAATCTTGTAGCCCCTCAGCAGCCGATTGGATCACTTTGTAACCGATCCATCTTTGACAAGCAAAAAACCTCAAGTGATATCCTTCCCACCGGAGTTTGAACCGGTTCCTTGTAAACCGTTGTTCTTTGACTTGGCACTCAATCAGGTTCAGTTTCCTTCTCTGGCGCACAAAGTGGAGGAGAAGAAAGCAGCAGGCATAGCTGGGTATTTCAAGGGCTGGCTATGGGGATCTGGAAATTAATGTAGATGTACTAATAGTAATGAAAGATGGAATAAAAAATAATTCTGAGAAAAATGAATTATTTCTCCTTTTATTCCGCGCGAAACAAATTATCTTGAAAATGATGACCAAAGAGTTAATGCTTGCCAGTCGTGTGCCCACCACAGGAGTCTAATTTTCCTTGCCGTCTTTCTCAGTCTTCAGTAACACGCCTACAAGTTTCTTGTTTTCTATTCTATATCTTCAGTTGATTGGTTCGGTTAGGGTGTTACAGCTTATTCTTCGAAACGTCTCCCTTGTATCAACTTCGATGAGGTTACCTTTTTTCATTGGTATAGCACAACTGATAGTGGCTGTTTTTGTTTTTGTTCACTTCGAGTGATTTCTATAGCAACCCCTCGCTGAAATCATAAAGCAGTCAATTGTTAGCAATTCAAATGAACTACGGTAGTAATTTGCGAGTTTTTTTTTGTGGTTTATGTGATTCTGGTCAGGTTTTGTTCCTACCAAAAAACCTGTTATCATCGGGTTATGTCTTCAATAGTTTACAAAGATCACTACATCAAGTGATAAAAGAATCAGAAAATTTAAGCAAAAATAACATTTCTTTTGAATGTCTTTTCTACATTTAATTTTCCGGTACCGCAGAACAGAAGAGAGTATCTACAAGTGGAATATTAAATAACAAAATACTGTCCTCAAATCACACTTCGATGCAAATTTTTTAATGAAGTCTTTCTTGCAACTTTTGTTGTATTTTTTGACGTCTAATAAATGTAACAAAGACCCCATGGTGCAAAACCATCTGTGGACGGGGAACAGCTGCGTTATAATATTACGCCATTGGAAATTAATGTTGCATTTTGCAAGAGGAGTCCATCAAATTTTACAATGTGAGACAAATATTAATACAAGTTAAGTTCTTGAGGCAATTGTTAGCGACAAAACGTAGCCTTTTTCGGTGTGTATTGTGGAATAGAATTCCATCACAGCTAGTTTTCAGTGACGATTCCGTAGCTTTACTTTTGTTCCAAAATGTTGTTTAACAATTTTTTCATTTCCCCGTTTTTCATATTTCTTCCCTTCGCTTGCCTCTTCATTATCATCAATGCTAGTTCCACGTCGTCTGCCCAGTTATCACAAATATTTTCACTAAACTTTTTGTGAACATCTCTCATTTTACAATCGATCAATTCTTCTTCTGTGCGAGCGAATAGATACTTTCTGTCGTGACCTTGATCTTGAGAATTTGAAGAACTTGAACTCGCTATTGAGTCCAAGGAGGTTGTTGAACTTCTTCTCGTTGTGCGTATATCTGGGTGCCCTTTTTTCACATCGTGCCATAAACCCTCAAGATATCTTTCCATAGTCTTGTGCGTGATTCCTAACTTGGCATGGCTTTCATCTTCCCAATCATTTTCTTGCAATGTATCCATAAAATTTAGTCCGGGATCAGTACTACTATTCTTATTGATATCACGAGAGCCAGAATCCACCTCATCTGTTTCCATACAAGCAGCGTTTGCTGTTTGTTGCTCTGGAGCTGTGTCGTCAGGTGAGCTTAATCGTGAAGGGAAACGCGTCCATTTTCGTTGCGGCTGTGGAGTTGGAGAGGGCTTTATCGGGACAGATTTCTCTCGCTTCGCTGTTTTCGTGGTATCCTGTTCAGGTTTTTGATCCAAGGTTTTAATCGATGTTTTGCGATTATCGCCCTGGCGTTTTATTTTTGTCGTTGTTTCCTTTTTAGCGCCCAAGTGTCCTGTTTTCTTCACATCCTCTAGAGGTTTTTGACCCAGATTCTTGATACCTGTCAATGTTTCACTAGGGTGATCATCGCTCTCGCGCTTTATTTTTGGCGTTGTATCCTTTTTAGCGTCGCCCAAGTGCCAGTCTAAAAATTCATCTTGTACTAGTTCCTCCAAGAATGCCTCGGTATCTTTGCCGTGAACACAATCCAACAAACTGTCTGATTCAACACACTTGTGCTTTTCGGCCGACATTTGCAATGAGGTAATGGAACCTTAAGTTGCTTCAGAAAAAAAGGTTTATGAATAATATTTAACGTCGGAGCCGTCGAAGTCAATAAAGATCTGTTAAGTTCCTTTGACAGGTGTTTTGATCTTCAGTCACTGCCAAAGTAAAGGCCCTGGGGACAAGTTTAATGCTTGTATATTAGGGTAATTCATTTTTTGTGAAAGTTGAAAAATGAATAATGAAAATCTGTGGTTATTTTCATTTTTTTTAATTTAAAAAATTAAAAATAAAAATTGACAATTGATTTTCAATTTTCATTTTCTAACATGGACAAATGAAAATCTGTGTTCAATTTTTATTTAAATAAAATATAAAGCTAAGTTAAATATGTAGATGACGCTACAGTCATGGAATTTGTTCCCAGGCTTTCTCCTTCATATTTGCATTTTACTGTTTCGGATATTTACTCGTTTGCTTCCTCTAGGGGCATGGTTCTTAACGGCAAAAAGTGCAAGGAAATGTGCATCAGTTTTTTGCAGTATTGCCCATTTCCGCCAGCCCCTCTACTGGTTGGTAGCTCTCTGATAGAAAAGGTTTCCTGTTACAAGCTGTTAGGGGTTCACTTGTCGGTTAACTTATAAAGGAACGAGCATGTCACCCATATTGTAAAGAAAGGAAGTAAGCGGTTATATGCAATACGCGCCCTTAAGAAGTGCGGACTAACTGATAGGCAGCTTATTCTTGTCTATTGTAGTATCATTAGGTCTGTTTTAGAGTATGCCAGTCCAACTAGGGCTGGCCTCACGCAATACTTAAGTGATCAAATTGAATCAATACAAAAGAGGGCGCTAAAAATTATTCTTCCTTCTCGGTGCTATGAGGACGCGCTCAGGAAATCAGGCCGAATTCTGCTGCGCCAGAGGAGGGAGGATGCGTGAATAACATTTCTCAAGCGAACTTACTCTTCTTCCGACCTGCTACGAAACTTAGTGCCGCGAGTTGCACACAAAAGACTGTATGCCCTTAGAACAGGAGAAACTGTTTCTGTGCCTGCCTCCTCAAGAAATGACAGATTTGGAAATTTTTGCACCATTAAATACCTAGTCTGCTACACAGCCGTTTTTAGTGGCGTCACACGACGCTCCTTCCCACAACGACTTTAAAAACGGCTGTGTAGCAGACTATCAAATACCAGAATCACGTTTAAAATACCGCAATGTGATATGTCTTAACATTAACAGTTATATTTACGTGTCATAATCCGAAGTATTTGTATGTAATTAATGACCCGCCTTGTAAAATTCAGTTTATGCTGCAAAAAGGTTGAATAAGCGATTATTACTATTATTATTATTATTATTATTATTATTTAGAAATTGAAAAATGAAAAAAGAAAATCTATGTCTAATTTTAATTTTTTCAGCTATGTGAAAAATGAAAATCTGTGGTCAATTTTCATTTTTTTCTGGACTCAAAACTGAAATGAAACTAACCCGGAAATAAAGAAAAACAACCAATCACAATACAATAGATCCCCGCACAATTGATGCGAGTGCAATATGAGAAGTGAAACATCAGTTACTGTGCCCAGCAGGCTAAATGCTCCAATTGTCGTCTGACGGTTGAACAATTTGACGTCAGGGGCACCCAACGACAATTTTCGGAAAATTATCTGTTTTCAAAAAAAATCGTATAATTGCCCATTTTTAACGGATTTTTACCCTAAAAAGGTCACCTAGAATTTTCGGGAGCCTTTTTTCTGGCTGAAATTTTCGAAAAGGTAAATTTTGATCCCTATAATTTTCGGATAACTATACTTTCAGCTAGGAAATCCGAACAGATGAAAAATTTTTAGGGGAAAAAAATAAGCCTTTATCTACCATTTAAATACTAAAGTACGTTCAGCAATGCTAAGTTTATGCGGTTTTGAACTATATTCTCGTTGGGTGCCCCTGTGACGTGGATTGTCCACTTCGTTGGCGATTTAGGAAATGGGAATTTTGACGATGTGAATGATGGAAAATGTGCGTCATTTATCAGGACATCTGTTTCTGGCGGAATTGTCTCCATGTTGCAAATGTCACGGAATTTATCGCCGCCGAGAGCGGAGCCGGTCAAGAGAGGTTTGCCAACCTTCTCTTCTCTTCTCTCTACTGTCATCTGGGTGAAAATCTGTCGCTCAAAAAAAAGGCATTAAACAGTGCCTAGGAGGTCTGAAGTGCAGTCAGAATACAAAGAAAAACAAGAAGATGCTGAAGGTAAGCTTCAAAGCGATATTCAATGTACATTTTGCTAATTTAGTGGGCAAGAATATTTCTCCATACAACGTGTTATAATTTTCTTGCTGTATGAATAATAAATTAGCTTGATGGGAAGTGTTGTTTTCGGGTTCTTGGCATCCTAAGAGGCCTGAAAAGCAGTCAACACACAAATAAATGTAACAAAATACCAAAAGGAAAAATTTAAAGTACGTTTCGCTCAATTATGGAGAAATAGGATAATTTTCATACAACGTCTTATAACTGTTGTCGATTAGCTAAGTCGGGATAATGTTGTTCAGGGCTCTCATAGTAAGCTTGGGCTACCTGTGAACAAACAACAAAAATATGCGGCCCGGCGGTGAGCTGAAACTAGCCATGTGACTGTCTTGCGATTGACAGCAATCAGCGGACGTAACGCAAGTCATTTCGCCGCCGCGCGCCTCCCAAATCATCCCAGACACATTTCCAGATTTCCACTCTTCCAGAGTTATTAGATTAGAACAAACAAGACACATTTCCAGATTTTCGGATTTCTACACTGCCAGAGTTGTTGGATAAAGACAATGAAGAGGCATTTCTCCACATTTCCATACTTCCGGTGTTAATAGATAAAGACAATGGAGGCACATTTCCACATTTCCACACTTCGGAGTTATTAGATAGAGACATTGAAGATATATTTCCACACTTCCAGAGTTACTAGATAAAGACAATGAAGACATATTTCCACATTTCCACATTTCCACACCTCCACACTTCCAGCGTTACTAGATAAAGATAATGAAGACATATTTCCACATTTCCACACTTCCAGAGTTACCAGATAAAGACAATGAAGACATATTTCCACATTTCCACACTTCCACACTTCCAGAGTTACTACACAAATTAAGACAATGAAGACATACTTCCACATTTCCACATCATTTTCCACACTGCCAGAGTTACTAGATAAATTAAGACAATGAAGACATATCTCCACATTTCCACACTTCCATTTACTAGACAAAGACAACCAAGACACATAGTGACAATGGAGACACATTTTCACATTTCCACGCTTCCAAAGTTAGCAACTAAAAGTACGCGATTCTACGTTTACAAGACATTGTAGTGCTTTCATGTCAATGCATACGTTTGTCTCTATTACAGTTACTTCAGGGAACTAATGTTGCATACATTTTTCATGAATTAACGGTAATGTTACTCTTCTGCCCATTCCATTCTGATGACGCGTTCTGTGCTCTTCTACCCGAAGTAAAAGCCGAACTTTGGAGTTGTTTTCTAAGCGAGTTTTATCACTGAGCTGACTCATGATTCTGCTACACCTTTTTTCGGTCAATGCCGTTCAAATCGAGCTGGAACTTCGTAGAAACACTTAAATAAAGAGCAGGTAACATTTGTTTTGTGAGAGGTTTACCCGTGTGTTTGAGTCGGTTTAAAACATGTTAAACTGACCTACATGAACTTAAAATAATCATGAGATGAAAAGTTTGCACAATAGAGTACTAAAGTGATGACGTCATAAAAATAAAATTTCTGAAATTATGGGATTTGTCAGGATATTCTGAAAGAACAATATCCAAGAGGCCTACTTACCAAAAATGAGCATTTTGGGGCAAATTGTCTCTGAGATGTTAGCCGGTTAAACTCAGAAAACTCCATACAAACCCCTCTATTTTTTTGGGTCGCCCCCAAAAAAATTTAGAAGGGTTTGTGTTGAGTTTCCTAAGCATAACTGGGCTACGATCTCAGAGACAATTTGCCCCGAAATGCTCATTTTTGGGAAGTAGGCCTCTTGGACATTGTTCATTCAGAATATCCTGACAAATCCCATAATTTCAAAAATTTCATTTTTATGACGTCACACTTTAGTACTCTATGGCAAAAGATTCTTTCCTGTTCTCTGACATCAGTAATCTAGCAAAAACCTTATATGTTGATCACGCTCCTATGATCATTGTTTTCACTTCAAGTTGTGTCACGCAAGAAGCCAGGACACCAACCTTCGAGGCTACCACGACGTTTGTAGTGACATGTTTATCTTTTTAACAACATAGAACTTTTTACGATCTACTTTTATCAACCATGCTTGAGGGAGAATAAGACATGTTAGGAGTAAAGAGTTAATGCATGTTAATGACTGAGATATTTTGAAGCCGTAAGAATAGAATGTTTACCTTTTAATTGATGATCTCTTCCATGATTTTGAAATAATGCTTGACGACACAAAAGCTAATCTGGAGCTAAGAAAACTCGAACGCACTTATTAATTTATGATTACTGCTAGTATACACGCATTAAGTATAACATTTAATTTTGGCATTGGGCGACTTTTCGTATACAGTGTATATTCGGAAACTTATTTTGAGTTTGTTTGAGTCTGGTTTTCTGACTTTTCTCAATTTTTTCATTTCTCTTTTGTTTTTATTCAAACTTACAACTACAGGCAACAACCATGTAAAAGCGTTGTTATATCATGATGTTTTTTTTATACGCCATTAATGATCCAACGACGTGATGGAGAGTACTAAAATGAACCACTCAACCGATAAGATGAATACAGGAGATAATACGTATCATCATCATCGGTCGGCTGCAGAGCAGGCGACTACGAGCTTTCTCCAGCCACAACGATCCTTTGCCAATTCAGACAGCTTGCCCGGGCCAATCATGTTGTCTGTGTCTCCCAAAAGGTGTTGAATGTATCTGAGAAACAGTGTTCGTTGCCTTCCTGGTTTTCTCTTCCCATGTGGTGGAATATA